ATTAATGACATCATTAAGCCAAACAACTCGTATACAGACTCGGCGGAGAACGTGCCTTTTATGCTGAAATACCACTTACAATCTTGGGTCTGATAAATAATGCAAACCTGTGTGAATAATGTGTGTATATATGCACATGTATGTTATGTAAACCCTCAAAGGGATAAATACATTTTATAAAAATAAAGCGCAGGAAAAATACATAACAGATATTTTCATTATGAGACAAATCTAGCAGTTGAAGTAAACCCACCAATGAGAAAAACATTTGTTTATGATGAAAGAATAAGCATGACAAGAAGATTTTAGGTAATAAGAAGGAAGTACTTCTATAGTAGGAACCTAATCAGCATTTATTGCCCATGGGTAAACTCCATATTCCTTTTGTTGGGACGGGGGGCGGAAGGGGTTAAAATAAGGAGGTCTATACTGTACATATTCTATATACAGTCTAAAAAAGGTAAATGCATAATTACAGTAGTCCTGGCAATTAGATGAAAGTCATTGTATTTTGATATGCATTACTTAAATATATTTGGGTTTAATGGAGCCTATAGACGTGACACTATAATTGAAAGCCATGACGATTATGGACTCAAGACATCACAATTAAAAGTTTGTAGTTGTTTGTGAAGTGTGATGTGTTTGGGATGATCGCACAGGTTTTAAGGCTCACCTAATTTATCAATGGTGGTGATCAAGTCGGATGGAACAAAGTGGTCCAAATCAGCATCTAGGATTCCCAAAGGGTCTAACTGTGCAACATGGTGACCACGAATCTACACGGAGAGACAGACAAATATGTGAAGAAAAAATAAAGGGGTGAGAAGAATCAGGTAAACAAGAGAAAGTGACAGGTACTGTAGGAAACACAATATTTGGCAAGGGGCTGAGTGTGAACAGCTGGAGAATAAGCTAACACTCAGTTATAGGTCAACCTCTCTGAGAACAGAGCCCCATGGGAGTGCTTTTATGTCTATGTACACACACACAAACACACACACATTCCCACTAGGATTGCAACACGCTGGGAATAAAATTGACGCCTTTGCCAAAAGACAGAATTTAATAAATCCCTCGGATAGTTCCTCGAATTAATTTAAGGGCGAGGGGAAATGTTAGCACCTGTTTTGTTTAAGTAGTCTCTTTGATATTTCCAGTTTTCAAGTAACAGCAAGGGTAAGTAGGTTGGACTTAATCTTGCAATTTGCATAACCTCGTGCAGCGACAAACAAATTGTATATTCCTTTTAATACGAGGACACGCAGTATGAACAGCTTTCATTGCCAGTTGCATCTGTTTTAGCGAGTCAAGAGAATTTTGTTTGATGTATTTTTCACACACATGTCGAAGATACAAATAGTCAGCCAGTTGTGGCTCGAGGTTGATGACATCTTAATTCTGTACACAGACATTGCATTAAAATTAAATGGATGCCTGAGAGATATGTGATTAATCCTTTAATTTGTGAATAACATAAATCCACATTATACAAACTGATAGCTGATGTTTGTGTGTGTGTGTTTGTGTCATAGCTGGACAGTATGGTGGGAGTACCTGATAGGCTCTAATGAGAGTGTGCACGGCCAGGTGGTCTTCCACCACTTTCTGGGTCATGTTTGCTGAGTGGGACAGCACTCGTCCCTCGAGCAGAGCGGAGGGGTGTCTCTCACCCGCCTCGCCAGGTGGACTGGAGGCGTGGATGTTACTGAAGAAGGCGTCCCAGGACTAGAAGACAGAGAAAGACAGATCCAGCAAGAATGTCCATCAACAACATGGACCAAAAGTATCCCTGACTGCTAGTTTTGGGGACGACAGGACAGTGAAAGGCTAGACATTGCAGCTACAGCACATACATTTATTAAATGTTCTTCTTCAAGACCAATGCTGACAGTTGTTAATTGAACTTTAGCTGCTACACCAACTCGATTTCCAGATGTGCTGGACCAGCTGGACATTATCCCTTTCCACATTTCCATTAAAGGCCAGAGAACTTAATATAATATTTTTTTCTGTTATCAAAACATTTGGAAAGAAGTGTTGCAAATGTTACCTCATGGACATTTTTATGATCCTCCAGCCAGGCAATGTACATCTCCTCCATATAGCTGGAGCTACCGGCCACCGCTGAAAGGACCGGCGCGGCCCCGGAGGAGCAGCCTCTCCGGGGGTCGACCCAGCGCCTGGCCGGGGCCCCTCCACAGGCTCGCAGCCACTGACTCCCCCCAGCACGCGCTCCCCTCAGCACACCCGCTAACGCCCGAAACTGACTCATGACTAGAAAGAAAGTAAAAGAGGTTAGAGATCAACAATGAGACATCTCGGTATTTTGATTGTCAATCATTTATAAGAACTCAGACAATGTGTGCACGACTCGGTTTGATGATTTATCCCAAACCATCTGAATTAGTAAAGGATTTTATGCACAAACAATGAAGCACTGTACGAGGACTTTGCGTAGACTGCTCATTAATGAAATGCCGTTTGCAATTTGTATGGGATTTCCTCTGATCGATGCAGCATGTATCATATTCTATGTATGCTAAAAACCTCTGCAAGACTGAATATAATTGCGTAACGTTTGTTTCTGTGCAAAGTCTCTGCAGCTGAAGAAAAGCACGTAGCCTACCGGTTGAAAGTATGACGGTGTCTGCAGTGTCTACAACTTCCTCACCTTCTCCTGCAGGATGCTTTACAGGTTTATTCAGGTTACACCGCTGAAATCACTGCAAAAAACATTGCCTATGTCATTGTGGGTCTGTTACAGTTTCCCTAATCCCTTAACGTCAACATTTAAACCCTCATAATCTCTCCTCGTCTCTGACATTGCAAACGCGCAGTATGACGGGAAATAGGATAGTGGTTAAAAATTGCACAGGTACGTTTTATTTCTATAAATTACATTTACCTTAGACTGACTTCACTCTTTTTGGCATCGCCGGAGAGTCTAAATAGGACAGGTATGGTATCTGTGGAGGTGACGGAACCGAGTGCGTGGATTATTTGACACGCCCCCCTGGCGTCAGGTGGTACTTTCTGTTGACACTGAGCAGCCCGGTGCACCCAAAGGTGGCAAGGTAATGCCCAAACACAGCAGCTCAGGGAGAGAGAAAAGTGAAAAAACATCGAACATCTAACTGTTCTTATGAGATGCTATTAAAACAATATTGTGTTAGTGCCTTTTTTTTGCATTTATATAATCAGAATACTTACTTTAATCCATAGTCCCTCCCTGCATACACTTCTCCTCCAGACAGGTAATTTGTTCCCCTCTTAGTAACATCACACATATGTCTTTCCCTTCAGTCTTAATTATTCGAGGCAATTAAACTTTTATAAAGGCTGAACATGAGTCATTAGAGCAAGTGGTTTCAGATTGATGGGCTTCTACCTTGAGTGGGTTAAACAATAAGATAATTGGCCCAGCCTCCCTCTATACTCCTCATCGAGATTTTCATCATTCATACTTGCTGGCACTGAAGTAACAGTGTTATCAATCACGACAAACATAGGATTGAAAAGGGGAAAATGGAGTGGGCATGAGTTGCAGGAGGATCTACCAAACAGAACAGTGTAAGTCTAAATATCAGATGATCACATAAATCAAAAACCTCCATGTGCAGCTTTTAAACAGCTAATCTTTGGCAGTTCAATACAAAAATGTCCAATTAAACCATTAACATATCCAATGTTATATAATACCATATAATAGGCTCAGACAAAAAATGAAATGAAAACAAATGTTTTCATCTACTTCAAAAATGCACAAGTCTAGAACAACGCACTAACATGCTCAGCCTTCCCTGAAAGACAGTTCCTCATTTCCCATTATTTTGCATTTGTGTTTTCTGCTGCTCTTTGGCTGACCTGTTTGAATGAAGGGTCAAGCAATTATGAACTGAAATGCCATTTTGTTGTGGGGACTTTGCCGCCTGACAAAGATGGAGTGAAGACCAGTTGCCTTCTGGTGTTTTATTAATAGTGTTCACCAATAAAAGGACCTGTGCTGCTGGGTAACATTAGGTGCTCTGTGTTCAATTACATCCTGTTTGATAATAATTACATTACGGTATTGGACAAAACTGGACCAGCTTCTCTGCATTTGAAATCAATACATATTTTTTGGGGGAAATAAAACAAGTAATCTCTCTAATCTTGCACCAGAAACGTAAATAAATGCATGTCAAGGTAACCCAGGCTAACGGCAGCCATCAACAGTCAGGTCTGCTAAACCAAGTTGACTTTGTTACGAGACACAGCTCATCTGGGCCGTGCGGGGCTCAGTACAAAATGCAGGAGGAGCAGATAATGGATAATCCAGTTACCCAACCAAGCCTACACACCATTTATGGAAGTCCACGTCATGGGGTTATTTAGAACCCTAATTCATCCAATAAAGCATGTTTGGAGGCAGAATTCAATTTGTCTGAAAGCCCTTGGTACACGTGCTATCACAAAAATCCATCACATTTCAAATGATTAAATAATGTATGATTTCATGATAGTGCGTGACAAACTGGGGCGCCAAGGCACGGTCACAAAGACATGACAAAGGACATTTTTCTTTCTAATGAGTCTGAACTAATTATTTCTAGATGATCTATATATTATAACATTACCTTGATGTAAATCTACATACTGAACATGGTTCACATTAACATGTTTGTTAACTGAGGTTACAGTATTCAACCAATAAAGAGCCTGTGTGTTAAAATTATTTTGCTAGTTTTCCTTTCAGGGTAGTCAATTATATTAATGTGAGCAGAGGAATACCATTTAAACAGTACATACTTTAATTAAGAAATTATAGTAAAGCGTACAGCCTAAAAACTCTAAAGTACAGTACTATGCAGTACATTTACAGTCTTTAATTTGATTTATGAACCCATAATTAAATAGAATCCATACTGTCAATCATAAAATACAGTAAATCATAAAAACATATCAATATCCCAAAAGTAAATGTTGAGTAAAATCATTAACAAAAATAACATTTTGCGTGCAATTATTTCCACTCCCAACTTTATTTGTTTATACAGTAGCTAACACTGAATATATTTGATTAAGTTCAGAATAGAACTTAAGGTCTGAAGATGAAAATGACCATAAATTAAATATATGTTTTATCTGAGGTTAATCTCATGCAGATGACATGTTATTGATAGTTTAGATTAATGTTAAAATAAGGACAATACGTGTATGTAAACATCCTATGGGATATTAAAAGAGCAGTGTATTTGATAAATAAATGTTACCCATGCATAGACTACACAGTATGGCATCATCTCTCTGCATTCAGGAATCTCACCACTGCCTGGGTATGATAAATGGAGAAGAAAAAAGTAGCAAAAACCAATATGACAAGATAACTAGGGAAGATCATCATGTTATGGATTCTTAATAATGAAATGTGTTCATACCATGCACATGATGAGTATTTGGCCATATTTGTAATTAGTGTTAAACCAAAAGAATAATCCACATCATATTTAGACTAAAGAAAGGCCTAACAGCAACCAGGATTTACTATTGCTATACGTCTCTGAAACATTTTCCCACATTTGGCGACATACTACGCAGCTCCTAAAATACCAGCAACAAGAAAGGCAAAATAGTGATTTGATAGTTTGTGTGTTGGGATCACAAACTTAAAGGGAGTGTGTGTGAGAGAAGAAGTGATTGTTAGAAGAGCATTTTGAGGTTTTTGAACCTGGAGTCTCTTTTACACATAGAGACAGGGGGAGGGAGGATAAGTGTCCTCTGTCCTTGTTATTGAGTGTCCGATGGTACAGGGGACATCCCAGAATCCTTTGTGGAGTCCTGGGCATCGGCGGCCATGGGGGAAGATACTCTTTCGTAGATGAAACTGTAGAGAGTGACGTCGGGTCGAGTCGTTCGGCAATTCTTGCACACCAAACTGGAGTACTGGTTCAAAAGCTTGTGCAGCCTCCCTGGAAGGGTAAAGGAGAGAGGTGAAGAGAGGGGGAGATAGAGAGAGACATAGGGGAGGGTGCAAGGGTCAAGAGGAGGAATATGGAGGGAGAGAAAAACAGGGTTTAAGTGAAAGTTCTTTGAGTGTCAACGAGCAAACAAGAGGGACAGAAAATGCAACGGAAAGAAAGAAAAAACGAAGAAAAATGAAAGCTTGTTCAGGCTCATTTATAAATCACACGCACGTACACACGCACACCGGGCCGTGAGCTTTTTCTCTGTAGCCCCACTTTAGGAAATGGATGGCTAGAGGGGAATTTCTCTGAAAGGCTTCAATAAATGTCAGCAGAAGAAAAATGAAAAGAGGGGGAGGGGAGAGGCTGGGGTCAGTTCAGGCGGTAATCCACTCTGCAGCTGAGGGTGAATGGATAGGCTGAGGAAAAAGGAAATGGCCCATAAAGTGGAATAACTTAACATTGAGATGGACTGGGTTCTGTTATTTATGCGTACTGTCCCTGTAATGACGGCAGCAAGGACAACCTCTGTGTGCTGTACGGGCCTCAGGAGCCTCCATTCCTTTTAATTATGCAATTTAGTGTAAGAGCTCAACAGAAGAAGGGCTGACGGGAGTCTAACAAAAAAATGGTGTTTTGTGTGCGCGAGTCTTACCAACGTTGACTTGTCTCTCGGTGAGGAAAGAGTGTATTGCGTGAACATCTCTCATTAGCTGAGCGTCTCCGAATGTGAAGTAAGCCATGTCTCTCCCAGCCTCTGCCGCAGCCATCAACTGGATCAGCGCTGAAAAAGTGAGAAGGAGAACGCTAAAGGCAACAATTATATACAGTTTTAGCATCATTAGTATCCTTCCTTTTCACAACGAAATCATAAATGTGTAATTGAATGCTGTAAAATAGCTGAGGAAACTAAGTAATTGGTCAATAAGCTGGATGAGGTGCAGCTTCAGGCAACAAAGAACACGATTGACAGGAGCCATTTGTATCATAAGAGTAAATAATCCACCACTGTTAGCATAGCCTCATCAACGGCACTCAATCTTTTAGCCCTTGCAAATGAGGTCTTAAGCCGTTGAAATATTCAACAGAATGGATATTGATTCCAGATTTAAATACACAGCACATACATCCTTTGCAAACGGTCCCTAATCTTTACAACATATTGTAACAGCTCGTCTTATTTAACTACCACATCTCAAGTCAGCTGCGGGACTATAATGTAAAATACAGTTATCGCTTTCTAAAATTACCCGCTATGCTAATTTCAGGGGTAATGGGCGGGAGTCCCCAGAAGCTAATATTATCCTTTGGGACTTTTTCCAAGTCCAGTGGATCTGTTCATTAAAGAATGTACACAAACATACCCATGTAGCTCCAATAACATTTGCATACAAATTGCAGGATATTTATGTGGAGATGTGGCTTTGAGGACAGCAGTCTTCATGGATGAACAACATTACAGTTATTGAATTATGTTAGGATATTGACCAGGAACCCAACTGCGGAATTTCTGCAGTGTGGCGCACTGGAGGGGACAGTAAGGGGGCCCCTTCATATGAAGAGTGATGTTGTGTAAACCCACAGAGACCTGCGTCAGGCCTGGATTTATGGTGTCCCTTTCCTGTAATCAATTGCCCTTTTAATGGAAAACATAAATGTCTGTCAGCTGATCAATAAAGGGAGGGAAGGGACGGCTGAGTGTCACCCTGGGAGAGCTACTAATTGACCAGAGGAGTTTGGGAGAGACCAACATCTGTGGCACAGTGTCCATAAGCAGGAGCTTCAATGGCTGGAACAAAGACTACGATGAATGGTTGACCCTGTCTGACCTATGTAACTATTGTTTAATCTAAGCAATCTTATGTATCTATAACATAAGTGCCATTTCAGCTTTCATATATGAACATTTTTTGAATCCTTCACACTTCTTGTTATACACACACAATAATTAAACTCGCTCTATTTGAATTCATGTTTGTAGTTTTGCCAATGATACCTTTGAGCCGGGTGTCTCCACCAAAAGCTCCACAACCCCAGTTTCCTGTGGCCACTGCAGAGAGGTGCTTGCCGTTGTTTCTGAAGAATCCACAGTATGCCTGGGATAAAAGCACAGGGAGTAAGAGGAATGGGAGAAGAAAGAAGATGACTTTTATACAGTGAATATTGTATTATAACAGAGACTTTTATAATGTTTTACTAGGATATCTTGTAGGCTACCAAAAGCAAAAGTAACCCTGTTTATGTGTATGCATCAACTTGAACTACAAGCAACACATATATATTATTATTGTGAAAAATACCGAAATGTTCAGATCTATCCCATCTGTCACATACTGACAACAATATATTTTACTACAAAGTAGTACAAAAGTATGCAGAGTTTAAATTGTATTTCATAGCTTTATGTGTCCTTTCACAAAGACATTTATGTTTAACGTTAAATATTGTTTGTTACCAACTAGATTCCCATATAATCTAATCACTGTCCAGACAAGGACATCAGTCCCTCTCGTACCTTGTTGAGTTCTCTGGTCATCTTCTCGGGAATAAACTGCTCCAGGAAGTGTCTGAATTTCAGAGCATCAATGGCCACAATCTCTGTACATCGTCTCTGCCAGTCATCCCTTAAAATAGAATAAAAGCAATTACAGATTTGATTGATAATGACTTGAGAACGTCCTCCCATCAGTCATCGAAACGTTTATGACTATATTAAAGATTATTTCAAAAATATGAACAGTACTGTGTAAGGAATAAATACCTGGCAGTCTCATCCATGTGGTTGGCCTTCCATCTGTAACTCTCAGCATAGCCAGAATATTTACTGTACTGTTCAGTGCCTGCAGAACAGGAAAGAAAATCAAGAAAATTAAACACTATTTAGTTTAGACTATTCACTATTTAGCAGTCAGAGCACACAGTCGAGTTAAATCTGTTTCAGCGACTTATTTCTTAAATCACATTTAGTGCTCTCTATGCTCCCCATGTGAGTGCACAGTACCAGCTTGTATTGGATTGTCATAAATAAAAAAACATTGATTTAAAAAGTAATCCGCTTTGGGTTTTGAAATGAAAAGCTTTCAGCCATAATAGGAAGAAGTGGTTAGAACAGAAGAAACTAACCTTGGCATCATTCTCAAAATGCTTGTAAAATATAAAAAACACCTCTCGATCATTCATGAACTGACAACGCATCTCTTATGAGGAAGATAGCCTTTTATCATGTCTACTGATATGTGCTTCAGCATTAGAGGACGAAAGATTTCATCATTACAAATACAGCTGTGCTCAGTTCTAAAACTTATGCCTATAAAAGCTCCATACATTATGCATTAAATATGATGTAACTTCACTGCACTTCAGTGGAGCAGGTGTTAAACACGTGCTTGATATACCCTAAGAGGTTCAACTGTATGTACTAGCAGAGTTTTGTATGCTACTTGAAGAAATGATCAAAACTATTTTAAAAGGAATTCTCAATGTCGTTCTTTAGAAGTATCTCTTGAAGAAGCAGTAATTAAACGTTGCTTTTACCTTTGCATAAATGGCTTCATTTCATTTCGAGCATGCACCATCTGCCAAAACTTGAAGTCAAAGCCTGAAGGATGATTTTTTTTTTTGCGCCTTTACAAAGTATGACTTAAGCTAATGGCTTGTACTTGAGCCAGGGCATAACCCTACAATGACAGTGCAATTGGGCAAAAAAGAATGATGTGTCTCAGTAAAGCTTTGGCTGAGCGAACCAAAAGAAAATGTCTCCCGTCAAATTAAGTACTTTCTACAACACTAGCGACTCCTATCGTCAAACAAAAGGCTGCCCATATCACTTTCACAATCAACAGAGCTGTCCTCCTCCTCCTCCTCCTTCACCTTCATCATATCTATCCTGGCAACCGCCCATTAAAGCCTCCCGGCATTCAGGCTTCCATCACCTGATTACATTGTGGGCCTCTACCATCCCATTCGAAAACGCCTATGTACGCAAACCGATCTGACGCACAAGACCCAAACGCACAGGAAGACCCATGTTCAGACACCTCTTAAGACAAAGAAATATGATTAACTCGACAGGAGAGGAGAAAGGAGAAGAAGAAGAAGAAGAAGAAAGACAGATATAAAGAGTCCAGAAATGGAGCCAAGACTTTAAGAGCACACACTTAATGCGTGCAAGGAATATTCTGCAAGGTTTCAATGAACCTGTGGCGTAACTGGCCCATTCCATTAGTGGAGCGATGACCTTAGTTGGGCAATAAATTCCTTTCTGTCCAAATGTAATAAAGTTAAGTGGTGAGGAGGAGGAGGGAAAGAGGGAGGGAGGCAGAATGATGTCTGGCAGGGAGGGGGACGGACTATCCACTGAAGGTGACTTGGAAGAGATGGGACTTTCAAAGAAGACAACATGGCGCCATACGAAAGAGACGACCAATAACACCACATTGGCTCTTCTGTTTCTCTACTACTCTGCTCTTCCAACCTACAAGCAACACACAACCATTTTTGTTTGAGTTTCTGCAGGCTTCGCTGAGTTATAAATCATGGCCTCCTGTCAAACGGATGGATTTATTAAACCGGCTAATGATGCCTCTTGTGTCATCAAAGGCAAATCTGAAGGCTCATTTGAATGTCCTAGTGAAATACAGGCACCAAAGCAGGACAAGTGATTAATATTTATTTGCAAAGCCAGATAAAGTGGCAATAAAAACAAATATGATAAGTTCATATTTATGATCTATTTCGTAATGGTGAGTAGGCAATGAGATAAAACGTCTTCATGCTCTACAATGACACTGCAAACACAATGATGGAGGTACATTTAAATCAACAAAGTATTTCATTGAATCGACTTATATATGTTTATATTTTAGTTATTGGGGTACCAGTAATAAATCCGTGCCTCTGATGTTAATCCTTGCTTGCCCTTACTTTGACCAGAGGTGGGGAGGTACAGCTGTGAGCCAGGAAAGAAGGTAGGATGACCAGAAGAGGAGGAGGAGAGAGAGTGAGAGGGTGCAACTCTTAAAGGTTGACCCAAGTAGAGTGAGTTAGAAGTTGAAAAATAGAGCAATTCTGCTGAAGAGAAATGAAGGATAGCTGGGAAGTCCCAAGTGAATCAATGCAATGGATTTTCCATTTCAAAATGTACACCTCATTCAGAGTTGTTTGTGTTGTAGCACAATACATCTGGGCCTATTTGTTCTGTATAGATTGTACCCATGTTTACTTCCTGCTTGTGATTAGAAAAAGTATTTGCACAGTATGTATGGACGCTAACCCTTATTCATTACTAGCGCTAGATCGTGCTCTCTGAACAAAACACATTTGTTTTCTATAAATAACTATACACACACACACAATGCTAATTTGGTGTTAAAAGCAGCAAAAAGAATACCATGGCCGAAATGGCACAGAAAGTATTACAATCCTTTAAAACCTATACATAACCTGTCCTATATCTAGTCTCTGTATAAGGACATATTACATTATACATTATTTTGCTCACAAACTGCCAAGAGGTCAAAATAGGGTCGGGGTTGGACCTTTGATTAACTACTCATTACGTTCAGCTCCCTTTTCACTGCATCAGTCTAGTATAAAGCCTAAAACACAGCAGACGCTCTCACTGATGCTCCATCTAAACTCTTTCAGTGCTTTACTTTGGGTCGCTACTTGCTTCCATCCCAATGGGGGAAGTTCCCTGCATTATCTGGCAGAGTATAACAGCCTCAGACTGGAAGGAGGTGCTGACTCTTAACCCATCAGTTCTTTTTATGCTGACACGTGACATCTCTGTAAATCTGCAGCCACAACTCTACCTTGGTTGACAATACATTTCGGTTTATCACATTTTTCAACCAACAGATAAGGTGAAGACAGGGAAACCACAAACAGAAAGGAACAGATTGAGTCAAATAAAATAAGCCTACAGTAAAGTCAAGAGTCTTATACAGGCCGTGTAATAACTGCCTTCAAATAAGGAACTGAGGGTTGAATATTATGCTTGTGTGTGACTGCGTACCTGTGATAATGAGGCATTCGTTGAACTCCAAAGCTTCGGTGAAAAGGCGGGAGACAATGAGTTCAGGGTTGATGAGGAACCTGATCTCTTCCTGGACCAGTCCATGTCCGGTCACTCCACCACCTACAAACCTGTTTGCAAAGTCCACCTAATGAAATCATATAATTAGAAAATGAACGGAAGAAATGTCCAATTCCTCAGTTAAATTCACAACCAAACAAATCATTAACGTATTGTCCTGTCTGTTCAATGCAGTTGAGAAGAACTGAGGTTTAGCTACTGTCACTTCCGTGATTTGAACAAATCACTTTATTAGAGGCTCCTTATTATCAGTCACCCACTGTGGACATTTAACACAGATAAATGTCTGAGGATCGTTGCTCTGCTTCCTGCTTGTAAATAATCAAATCAGGAAATCGTAGCAAAACGACGTACATGAGATAGTTCAAATATCTATAAAAATCTACATTAAATGTTGAGCAGGGATATGGGATAAATCTATTGGCATTCCCTGTGAAGGTTCACTATATCACAGGGAGAGAGGAAACACCCTTACAGGTTTTTATAAAGTAAGTAATTAACTCACCGTTAAAATGTATATAATGTGATTTAAACTCATTGCAGATATATTCTAATCAGTGTATATGTCTGTCAAAAGTTGAACATACGGAACCCAAATGCCACAATATATCTGAGGTCATTTATAAACAGTTATTCTAATAAATAGTTGCTTATGTGAAGGGTTTATGGGAATTGCGAATTAATATATTATTTGATTTTTAGATCCTTGAACTCAGCACTGGCATGATTGCATTTCCAAAAGCAATTTCCATAATGACTAAACTATCTGTACTCAAATTAAACGCATGCTTCTAATTTTCCCCACAGAGCCTAAAGAAAAAAAGATATGCAGCACAGATATTTTCTCCCACCATCAAAATAATAACAACATCCCTGGTTTTAAAGAACTAGGCAATGTTGAAACGGTTTTAAATCAAATCTGGCCTTTGTTACCACTAAGACTTTTCTATCCCTTGATATAAGATGTGTATGAATACAAAGTTCTCCCAAATGGAGTTTTGGCCATTTTAACCAAAATATTGTGATGTGATACTGGAGCTTTTTGCCATGTAGGCCCACTCTCTGTTTTTGTGCCATGGATAAGAGGACAGTCAATTCAATCACAACGCTGAGATTCAAAAAGCCTGTCAGGGGTGAGGGTTCTGCTCACTGGCCCACAGCTACGTCAATCTGTGTGACAGTGAGTGTGTTTGCATGTGCATGTGTGTATGTTGTCTAAGTCCTCACCTCCTTCACTGGTTCACCCCTAACCTCACCCCCCTCACCCTTCAATCTCACCTCCTGACAGAATGACAGCCCACTCTGCCCTATCAAAACTCAACACACAGCCAGGGCGTTGGTAGCCATCAATCCGGATGCAGGACTCCTGGCCCACCGGGTCGCCCCCGTGAGAAGGCTTACTCTCGTCATCTTTCCCTCTCTGCGCCTCCTTCTCCCTCATCCCCCACCCCAGGGTCTTCTCCTCCACCCTTTCCTCTCTGAGTTACTCATGTGTATACATCAGCTGTCAGCTCGAGTAAAACATGCACCAGCCCTCCTGAAAACACTGGGGAGACGGTGTGAATCAATGCAGAAATATAAACAATAACCTTCCCGGATATGCACAGAAATCATACAACCGATTTTGATTTACTGCTGGTGGTTGACATCTATTCAGACAAGCAGTCTCTGACTTTTGAAAGCTTAACATAAGGCATGGTGAGAGTCAGAGTCATGTCTGTAGTTTGACCAAACAAGTATAAAAACAGGCATGCTACATCAAGTCAGCCAACTCTTTTGACAGAGTCTGGTGTTAGAAAGAGGAATTATTTCAAAATGAAAAAAGATATTCCTACCTGCAGCATCCCGTATCCATCATCCTCAATCGTCCCCTCACAAGTGATATGAAGGCGCTTCAGTTGAGTCTGGGAACTTGACAAAAAAGAGGATAACAAACTTCATTAACACAAAATACATTTCCAAATGTTAAAGGGATGAAGCCATAACATGATTCAGCAAAGAGTGTATGTACTAAAAGATGTGGGCATTTTTACATTTTTGTTACAATTAAAATAAAGTGTCACAAAACAAAATAATGGCATTCATTTGTAAAAACAAATCTCCTTTAATATGGATTGTGAGTGGAATAAAGAGTAATACCTTTCCCAGTTTGGAGGAGTGTTCAGTGCTTGTCTTTTGAATGTGACAAGACCCTTGGGCTCTTGAGAAAAAGAAAGACAATGTTCATCAAAACATTTTCATAAATTGAAAAACTTGGAGAGCAGTAAAGAAAAAAAGACATCATTATTGCTTACTTGTCTCTGTTACTCTCCTGAAGTAACACAACAGAGTTTTTAATTTTTCAATTTTTCTTGGTGAAGAACCTTCAAATAACCTGAAAAAGAAAGCAAATGGGATTTTGAGAAGGATACTGACTTTTGTACATCTCAAATAACAACTTTGACTTTATCATGTAAAATAAAAATGTAATGTGTTTGAGTAGATGAGACATGGATGTTTCTCTCAGTCATTATCTCTAGCTCAATGCACAACCATGCCACAACATGTCTGAAGTGAGGTCAAGCTTTTAAACTGGCACGATGTCTCTCCCATCTACCTCCATCCTTCACACAATGGCGCTGCCTGAGGCCATGTTTCAGTTATTCAGTTACCATAAAACGAGGGTGGACAGAGGAAGGGGAAAAGAGAGAGAGGGAGAGAAAGTAAGAGGGAGAGAGAGAGAGCTTAAAACCACCCCATACTGGTGCTCTCCGTCCATTAAAAAATGGACCTAAGCTGATGACTAATCACAGTTCAGCATTCATCTTTCCCTCCCCCTTCTGCCAAGATCCGTTAAGAAAGGAAAACAGAGGGGTCAAATAAACTGAAAAAGTAATATACTAAAAGGCCTTTAGTGAGGGAAAACATGACATTTAATAGGCAATCACTGCACTGCTGTTTTTCCTTCTATTTCCTTATACAGCTCTGCAAAGTCCCCCCCTCACCCCATTTCCGTCAGTCTCAATTTGGCTACAAGCCTATGAGATACTGTAAGAGAAACTGTGGTGGAAGGTGGATCAAATCAAAATCAAATCAAGTTTTATTTATATAGCACATTTTTAAAACGATTTTTAGTCGAGCCAAAGTGCTGTACATATAATAAAACACTTTACAATAAAGACACTTCACAACAAATACAACAGCACAGTTTGTGCAGAATATCAGTATGAGAAAACGACACCCTCTGTCCTTAGACCCTCACATCGTACAAGGAAAAACTTCCGGAGAAAAAAACCCACAGTTTAAAGGGGAAAATGGGAGAAACCTCAGGGAGAGCAACAGAGGAGGGATCCCTCTCCCAGGACGAGGGTGAAATCTCTAGAATAACCAAAAATTGCATCTCTCTAAAAGAGAGAAAGGCATCTAATTACATTCAGTCATATATTTCCAGTGTCATAAAGTACACCAGGAGACAACATTTCTGACAGTTTGACCATTACCATAAGGGTTTTTCTAGCAAATGCGGTAGGCCATCTAGTGGTCAGAATCAAAAGCAAAGGACTTATTTCTTAATAACAAGCTTTCATTCTTGGCTAAACTGTTCAACAGGCTTATGTAATTTTCTTCTCATACAGAGGAAAACATAAGCTAAAAGAGATAAGCCCACCCTCTTTCCTCTTACTCAAATCTATCCATCACTTAACGGAGGACAAACCTTGACAGTTGTGCCAAAACAGCAATCAGCAGATTGCTTGCTGCTCTGCTTGTCCAAGACAGAGCGCAACTGTTGCCGATAAGCAAAGTGACGGACACTCCCTCAATTACAGGGGGGGAAAGGGAGGGCCATTAACGATCCAGGGCCCGTTTTAGACTGCAGTGGTTGTCTTGTCTTTTCTCATCTTCTCAGAAACACCATGACTTTTTCCCCTCTTGCCCTTTCCTGTATTTCACTGTCGGCAGAAATGCTGATAGTGAAGGCAGCCATGTGCTGGCATGGCTCTGAAGCAGCCAGCCCCACATCAGGAATCAATGCTTACATTATTACAGATGCCTCTTCACTTAGCCTGCCACTACGGTTGATGTGGAGGCAGACATCATGCTCCCATACAGATGACTGATTGTGAAAGTACGATTAAGGTTCAGATAAAAAAAGAGGGAGTTTAAGGTGGGAACGTGGAACCAATCCCACATAATCAATATGACCATCCCTTCATAAAATAAAACAGCCCGAAACCCATGGGAGAGCAGATGGCTAATTAGACTCTGGATATCAGTTAGGACCAATGCAGATTGCAGGGAATATGAAAATGATACGATTTTGTTATGTTTCAAAGAGTATAAGTACCATCATAATAAGGTATTGAAAAAACTGACATCTGTAGTATGTCAAACAAAAAAACATGAAGTGATTACACATCGAGTGCGACTGGGAGTACGGTCGTCTTTCAACCAGAAGGTTGAGGGTTTGATTCCCAGCCCATGCAGTCAAAATGTCGATGTATCCTTGGGCAAGATACTTGCCCAAGTTGTTCCTGATGGCATGGCCAGTGGTGTGTGAATGTGTATGAATGTTAGCTTCCATAGAGCAAGTGGTACTGCTCTGCATGAATGAGGTGTGAATGGGTGAATGACTCGTAGTATGTAAAGCGCTTTGAGGGGTCGAGAAGACCTGATAAAGTACAGTCCATTTACCATTACCATTTACACATGCAACTAATGAGGAGAGAAATACAGGGAAACTGAGTTGATGTGATATCTGGATAATGTCCAGTGTGTACTGAGTTACCTACAGACCAGAACTTTTTTTACTAGAGATGGCAACACCATCTCATTCCTATCAACTTTGTTACCATCATCTGCTGCTCATATCAAGTGTCTTGAGCTGCAAAATAAGACAAACAACATAAATGAAGTGGTTCCTCAACAGAGAACAAGCTAAGACTTGTTAAGACTGTGTCTTAAAGACTGTGAAAACTGTGATAACAAACTACCTGGGGGCAATATTGCCACACCCTCTGCTGCTGCCTGCACACGCTACAACAGTTAAGACCGAGGTTGTGTACTCTACAGTTTGGTCCTGACACCACTCATGCATCACCTCCCTCTGTTGCAAATGATGTGACTCCTCCAAATTATGAGAATCCAGAGACAGATAGGCAGGTGTGCCCTTTCAAATAAAAGTACATCAATACAATTTGTTTCAATTAGCCATCCCAGGCTTTTCCAAACAGACCACTGGTTCCTAGTAGGTAGAAACAGAGAACACCAATTTAACACTCCTACTCTGGATCTCCCACCCAAACAAAAACACACAACAGCAAGGTGGAGCTCAAAGGGCTTCTGCCCACGATCCACCTTCAAGGCCTGAAGTGACGGGCAGTTACAGCACACAACGTAATCTTACAATCAGGAACATAAAGAAAAAAATCCTGTATGCTCTTTGACAACATTTTTTTAGATATTACAAGCTTTAACTGCGTTTAATGGCCGGATCCAATCAGTTCATCTTGTAATGACCCACTGTTTTGAAAGAAACATTGATGTTAGGATATGTAAACTTAATGGACACAGAATAAGTTGAACCTAAGTAATGGAATTAAACTAATAAAATGTTTTCAAGGCAGTAGTGCCCCCTTATGGAAATCAGTTTCCTCTGAATGGTAGGAGTGTGCTAATTAATTGAAATTCTACCAGTTTGTAAACGATTATTGTAATTAACTCAAAAATAATACAAATGTTCAATATATTTGATGCCAACTTATTGGTAAAAACACTGTTGTAAACATTTCGAGAGATCCTGACCCTGTTAATCAAATAAACGCATAATTATACTAATGAATCCAATCGTGTTCGTGTCCAACAACATTGTACCCTTCTTGTTGAAGCATACAGACCAATAAGGCAACATTTAGGATCAATATCTGAGTCTCAGATCTATTCAGTCTTCCGTTTAGAGTAATGAATTACCCAGAGTCTGCAAAGGCTCATGGGACGGCTGCAGCTCACTAAATTACCCTTGTGAGTTGCTGTCCCTTCATTCTCTGTTTGCCTGGGTTGGTGTGCATTTACCTGTAAAAGTTGATCTCAGGATAATTGCAGTACTCCGACTTGCGGGAGTTGCGTCGGGGGAATGTGCAGAAGAAAGAGTTGGCAAGCAGACAGGCTATTTGCTCCTGAGACAGAGTCAGGGAGTGGTTTATCCCGGACTTCAGCAAGGGAATTGGCTAGAAGGTAAAAGAGAGAGAGAGAAAAAGTGAAACAGAGACCCAACCTGAGATCATAATGGGAAACGTTAGGACAAGGAGGGATGCATAAGAAACACACAAGGTTACGTGGGTGCACTACTGCGGGTCTGATGGCTAATGGGGCTAGATAATTAGTTTAGCAATCTAGCAAGCAGAGGAGACAAGGAGAGTTCCATTAGGTAAATGGGTGGTAGTAATTAAGGTCCTGGTTTTCTTGCTCTCCCAGAGGTTCGTTCAGTCAGACACACAGGGCCAATCCATCTTCACTGATTAGGGCTAAAGAGCCTCCCAAGGCTGCCCAGTTAGCAGATCAATACAGGCTCTAATAACACACACATAAACATTAGCCTTGACGCTTAATACTGCTATACAAAGCGGAGAGTCAGAAAGCTTCATTATCCAACCGCTACAGATGATTCTGAGGTGAAATCTATAAGAAATTCCTCCTTCGGTTAAACATGAGCAGTGCTGACATTCTGCCTCTGGTTTCTGTCTCCAGTAACAGCCACAGGGATTTTCCTAACATGCCCACCCAGAGTGGGAGCTGAATTAGGTTTATTTGATTTAACAGAGGCCCCGAGTAGATAACTGAATTACAAAAATATAGATGTTAGGATTTTTTTGCCTTTGCTATAATTGATGACAGAGAATGAAGATGAAGACAAATGGGGATGACATTTAAAATATCTGTGACATAGATCAGCACCATTTATTTAATGTGAATAGAAAAAGAGGGAGTGCCCCGTATCTCAAAACATATTGCTCGGAGGTAGACGAAGAGCTAGTGTGGAAGATAGAAAGAAATAAGACTACATTTTACATTTCAGAAGAGGGATTTTCTCAAGCGAACAGGCATGACACATCAGATGGATGTCTGAAAATTAGGCTGACCTCTCCTCTCGCAGCTCTCTCTTTTTAATGAAGCAGTTCTTGAGGTGGACCAAAAGGGGTATTCATTATCTAGCAGTTGTAAATCATGAGGTGATCGTGTTTAACATCCATCATGTAATACTTTGCCTCTCCTCTCCCTTTACACTGTTGATCATTTTGTAAACCCATTGAATATGGCCTTAAACAACTCCAGTAAAAACCCTTAGCATGAACACCTCTTACTCTTACCAATGTGCAGAGGGCAGGAGCACTGAGAGCAAGGTCAACCATGGCTGGCAGGGTGGTCTCAAACAGGTGCTCCAACTCAGACTGCTCGAGACACTGGAGGAGAAAAAACAGAAACACAGGGAGACGTTTTGTTAAATGGGATATCTCTGCAGAGCTGAGTGCATAGTTAGGCAGGCAGTAACTCAGAGCCAGCAGTCAGAGTGACGGATTAGATCTGAAGTGACACAGCAGCTTTACCCACCACTCATATTTCCAGCCAAAATTCTAAGTCATAATTGTGTTTTTTTAGACAGTTAATGTCTTGCTATCAAATTGTCAGTTGCCTCTTTTTTCCCCCAGCAAACATACAGATAACCATAGTGAGACAAACAATAATAATAGTAATACTAACAACAAACACGAAAACATTTTAAGACAAAACATGATATATTTTTACATTGTTAGTTATCCCGTCCAAATACTGCGTGTTTTTTTTCGTTAGTGTTTCACATTTCTTTTATACAGAGATTATGTTGTACGCATAGTTTCACAATAAATAATCCTTTCACAGTTTTCAAACATTCATTTCATCGGTCATCTCATACTGAAAACAGATAAAATATAAAAGCCCTACATGCAATCTTTCTGTTTAATAAGTGCAATCATTTATTTTAGAGTTATGAATTGTCCGAGTAATAACATTACTAAACTCTATTTATATTGCACTTTTCAAAAACAAGTTTACAAAGTTCTTCACAGACATAAAAAGAGAAAACAAGAGATAAATAAAAGACAATAGAGAAAAAAACTAATTTAAAAAAAAAAAGAGTGAAAAAGGGCTCTGAAAGATCTGAGGAACAGCCAACTGCTAGATGAAAGGTTTAAATGGTCTAATAATTGTTTGACTGCGGGTCTGAGGTTGTAACCCAATACCAGTAAACAATATCTGAGGAAAGATGCTCAATTTTCTCATCTCGAACAAGAAAACTCAGCGTCGGTGAGCTTTATAGTTGTTTTAGGGTGAACTCCCACTCCTCAGATATCAATAATCCCAACACTTCAGCGGGGAAGGAAGAAATAGAAATGTTGCAGAGCCGCTCACTACACAGAACCTGTTTCAGAAGAAACTACCATCAATCTGGGAGCGAGCCTGCCACCGACGAGGCATCCATACTTCAGCCTATAGCTTACCTCAGCATCCATCTGCAATTCCCTCTAATATAAACACCCAGTTATTCCATCATAGACCCAGATTTACAACGCAATCACTTATGAGTGTATTGGCTTCGAATGTCACTGTGATCAATCACTTGCCTTATTCTATCAAGGTAATAAGGGGAGCCTGCGCTGATTAAATGGACCTTCTGGAGCAAATGCAAATGACCAATTGTGGACAGAGTGGCAGGATGGCTTGATTTTCAACAGGAAGTCTTTGGTGGTTCATTCTGCTGGGGGGCATTTATATGGCTGCAGAGCCGGTCTGACTAAATGCTGTCAGAAGTAATGAGCTGGCAGACATCATAAAGCGCTCCTGTGGGACTAATAGATGGTGGTTGGAGATGTGGCGGGAGGATGAAACTGGATCCTCCCCACAGCAGCCGACCTCCATGGTGATACAGTTAGGCTGCACACACCAACTTTCACATCAATACATTTGACAGACTAGAAGCAGGACTGTCATGATTTACTAATGCAAAGGCTAATGATCGATTACAATCTGCCTTCCCCTCCGGTCCTTACAAGTTATTTTCATTTCCTGTCTTGATTTCACGTTTGTATTTAGATGCGGTAAAGAATGTTTTTAAATACATTCAGGACAAACATTTCAATCATTTGTTAAATCCCTGTGTGAGAGAGATAGAAACAAAACAAATAATAACGCACAGAGTGAGAGGGATAGTGGGCTTTTGTCTTGCTCCTGAATGTTTGTGTACTATTGAAACATCAGCTGTACTCACTCCTGGACCTCTTTCCCGCTCAGCCCTCAGACATTTTTCAGAAAGTGACACAGTGACAGTTTCATTTGGCAGGGGAGAAACACTAAGACAATTTACAGACAAGCCCTAATTTGGATAACTCTTTTTTTTCCCCCCTATGGCTATTACACATTGAGCGGAGTGTCAATCACCGGCTGAGGGGCAATGTGCCTCGTGACAATTACACCAGTGCTGCAAAAACGTTGCAATGGATTTAATTAGTTGGTCTTGGCTGAGGAGGACAACAGTTAGGATTCACACTCAGCACAAACTAGAGGAAAAGAGAAGTAACATTTAAAAATAAATAAAAAAAGGATGAGCAGAGAAGCAGTGAAAATGATTCTGCCTGTTAGCTATCAAATGAGTTGCCCAAAGAATGGCTAAACAATTCAGTGTATGTGATTCTTCACTACATTCGTCTCTGTAGGAAAGATATATCACTTATGCATATTTACTGTGAATGGCAGCTGTTAATCATTCCTGCTCAATGTGTTGGCAGGGTGCTTTCAACGCTCCCTCATCCTGCATCCATTAACTGGTAGAAATGTAAATGATAGAAAGCTACCAGTAGGTATTTGGTATTGGCACACACAGGCATTTATTCATATTCCTTTCATTCATTTGCTAATTGCAGCACATATCTACTTTTTGAGTGCTATTCCCTTTTGATATTCAAACCTTTACTTGTAGTTTTCCTGCAAGCATCATCCTCTTTAGCTAAATGCCTCAGCAGGAATGAAATACGGGGAATACGGTGCTCAGAGTCGTGAGCAGACCCGCTGACGAAATAGACTCCTGGAAGGGCGAGTGCTTTTACTGAGCATCCTTACAGATTTAATGGGACCTTTTAATTAAATTGGATTAAGCTATAAAAAAAGGCTGAGTTGCCTATTGATCCACCGAGCTCTCTGCGTTGCTCCGAGAAATTATTTCAGGGAGCAGAAAAAAAAGAAAAAGAGACCACTTTGAAAGGGTCTGAATTTAGCGGAGTAATCAACGATAAAGGGACGGATATCACGTTCAGATATTAATCTGGCTGGACCGTAACAAGTCTGAAACAATACCACTTAAATGCATGAGCTCCATTAGAAAAAGGACCTTGTTCTTAATGGCTCAAACCAAGACAACTTACGAAAGAGAAGGACATTACTAAATGCTTTACTTAATGTGGATTCCAAATTAGGCTTCTTTCAGAAATTGGTCTGCTCTGACTCCGTCTCGCTCCACTTTGAGTCACTTCACTTCAAAGTAAATACACTGCCAGTAGACGTGCAGTTAAACTAATGATGTGTCTACACGATTTCGGGAAAACAAATTCTACAAGAGGACTGGGACTGATTCTTCCCTTGGAAATGCTATATTGTTGTAAGAGTTGTAATAACTGTATGATAAGGAAAGAAATTGTTATCCCACATGGGAAGAAGTTTTTTCTGACAACAGGTATGTAACTAGAGTCCCAAACTATCTTAGCAGAAAAATAATTGTTATGGAAAGAGAAGAAGAAAATAGACATTCCCCAGGTTCACCTGCAACAGCTGCTGCCGCCATGCTCTGTGCTCATCTGTCCTAACTGTGTGAAGCGTATTTGCTCCTAGGAGACTCCCAGGTACGAGGCGGGGAAGAAACACACGGATGGGCTCGCAGCCAAACAGAGGAGAGCAGGCTCCCGTTCCAATAGCAACTCTAGTTTAGTATCGTCTTTAGCTTCATTCTTCATTAAAGTACCTTTTTAAGACTTATTTAAAATCATGTTAAGTTAAACAAAACCTCCAGAATATTTCACAGGGGCTACATTTCAGAGCGGTGATACACAATGAGCTGCATTTCACTGAAGAGGTGTTCATTTATATGTCAATTTTCTTAAAAGACACATATGAAAGCCTGTTTAATAGCAAATTATCAACTATAAAAATGTTTTCCCACCTTCAGAATGTATTCTAATTCAATATGCTTCATGTTCAGCAAAGATGCATTTTATACAAATGTTTTGGCAATACATTATGATCAGCAGGTTGTAGGGAAACATTTTTAATCCTCCCACTTAATGTTTTGTGTAAGAGACCCCGAAAAGCAGTTAACAGTCATGTTTTGAAAGCTTACCTCTGTGCAAAGAAGGTTGAGCGCAGTGAAGTCCCATTTCTTTGCATGGGCTATGTTGTATCTCAATATAGCATCCTGTAAACGAGAAAAACAGTTCATTAGTCATATTTTATTCAGTTATTTATCCAAAGAAGACTAAATATAAGAAACTATCTGGCAGAAATGACCAGCAGTTGTCTGGTTACAAGGCTTCTCTTAACACATGGTGTACATTTGTTGCAAAGTCTGCCACCATGTGGTTGTTAATGGAATATATTCTGTATCCGTATCCTGTATGTAACTCGTGAAATTGAAATAATAACATAGCACTTCTTCCATATAGTTTTGGTAAATGCACATACCTGTCCCGATTTAAATAAACATTAAATCAAATTAAAACAAAATTACAATTAAAACAAAGCCTACATATAAAAGATAGTTTTGAAATTGTATCGTGTCCTCACTGTATTACTCTCTATCTACTATTCATCTTTATGTCACCCATATCTCTCTCTGCAGTCACTTATCACTGCAGTGACTAAAGTTCAGCTAGAACACATAGTATGTGATCATGGAGAGTTGGAGGAGCCAGAACAAAGGTTTGTGACTGCTGGAGCCAACGCTTCTACTTCTTATCAGATAATGAGGGATGAAATGCATAATGGATGTTTGCCAACATATAGAGTAGCAAGGAGAGGCAGTTAGCCTCTTTCCTTACCTTTGGTGTTTCAGTGAAGACTTCAAAAGTATGGATAAAAGTAACTTAGCATATAAACCTGTTTAAGTGCAGACACAGAGTATGTTCAGCCTAACTCAGAAGCATCCAGCTCAGCACAGTTGTCTTACCCTCACATCCAGAGAGCTCTTGAACCCTCCATTTAAGGCAGTTTGGATCAGCTCCCATCGACTTTGGACACCACCTCCATCCTACATGAGATAACAAATTACACTTGATTTGATTACAACATTCATTGAGTAGGTACACTGACTGGCATGTTTTAAAAACCCTGCACAGCTGTGATGGACATTAATACCTCAGCATCCATAGGAAACAGATTCTTCTCAGAGCAGGGCATCTTCACAGACACATCATCCCACGCATCTTTGAACTTGCTGGGGTATGAAGCAGGGACCTCTCCCTCTCTGAGGAGATCCGTCTGAAACGGAAACAAAATGTAAGAGAAAAACAAAATATAAAAAAAAGTTTATATAAAAACACAATAAATCACATTTGATTAACTTCTCAATCTTATGGCGTTAAGGTTACTTTATTTGTACCTGTAGATAGATTCAGTTTGCAGTAGAAGTCGAGCTATCAATCATGAGACACATTTCACAAACAAAGCAAGACAATTGACATATATGATACCAATATTTACAGTTTTAATAATCACTAAACTACTCAAATAGAATGCATGAAAATGAATAAATACATAGATATTGTAGATGTGAAATTAAGAGGTCAGTCACTTTGCCCTGTTAATTATTTCATTATTGTTTATGAAACCTAAATGCATAAACAATGGTAATTTAAGTTTGACACTTGTTTTTACTTAAAGTTATATGTACCTTTGCTGGCTGACTAAACAACTGACAATTAGGTGTCCGGATTTTAATGGAGAGATGTGATTTTCTTAAAACATTAATAAAAAATGCCAGCATTCTTGTGATATAAGAGGTAATGGAGAGAATCTAGCTTGGGTGGCAGTGATAGGTTGATAGTAAGGCACGAAGTAGCTACAGAGCCATGAGACAGTGTTCCTTTGGGACATGCAGTGGAGGACACAGTGTGATAGGACCTTTACTGACAGGAAGCCCTGAGGGGATAATGGAGAAAGGTTCCACTCTCACTCCCATGTTTCCCTATCTTGTTATCTCTTATTAAAACACCAAATGCACCCAATGACCAGTCAGACATGCATGTACTTATTTTATGACTGCAGTATTCTTCACAACATACCACAAACAAAGAACAAAGATAATACAAGTGGCTGTTTCCTCACCCTGATTGTGACTGTGTGGCCAGGTACTGCTTTTAGGTGAGACAGAGGGGGGACCCACTGGGGCATTCTGTTCAGCTCATCTATGGGTGTCCCCATCCATTGCTTGTCCATGTTTGGAAATGCCAATGACACACTGTGAATAACAAAAAGAGAACAGGTCAGTATACCACACACAATTAGTAAAGGACATTGTGAGCACAGCAGAGCAAGGACACAACAGGAAAGGTGATTCATTAATCAGAAAAATAAAAAGGTAATAAATAGAAGTACCTTTCGGAAAGTTCACCTGACTGGCTTCCAGCTAAATTCTGGCTCATGTCAGATGAGCCACTGTACTCGGCTATCTCAGCATCCTCAGTTCCAGTGGAAACCGGATTGAGGTTTTCTTTGACAGAACATTCAGAATCAGAGTCTTTGACACACTGCTGCGATTCCTTCGCGGAGCTAGAGTCCTCTGCACAAGCACTGCCATCGTGAACCTTCTCTGCAGAGCTGTTGACAAGCATGGTTTTACAGATAGGGCTATTTGGGCTCAGCATCTCAACATCACTTGGTGTACTGACACCTTTCATGGGACTACTACTAAGAGGGAGGGTGAGTTTTGGATTTGGTGAGTGTGCAGCAACACAGGTTGTTTTAACCGGGTGAGGACCAGGTGAGGTGGACCTCTTAGATTCCTGTCCATCAGAACAGTGCGATTGAGTTGAGTTACACCCGCTGTCTGCAGGGGTGGATTCATCGAGCCCACCTGCAGAGCCACATTCCATTGAAGTCTGAGATGCTACGCCATCTTGCGAGTTCTCCATTTGTGCACAGTCTTTTGAAGTGTCAGTCTTTTGTGGTCCACAAAAGAGTTCATCTTTTCCATCTGTTAAGTTTGTGTTTGGGACATCATTCTTAGGACCCTCTGGTTGGACTTCAGCAGTCACACTGCAGCAGGACAGAGAGATAACAAAGTGAGACAAGGGCTTGGGTCTTTTTAGCAAACTCAATTTACAATATGTATACTTAAGATCTAAATGATGCAACTTCCCCTTTCAAGAGTTCAAAGTTTAAAGTACATTCTGTGCATATCCATTTTCCTACTTAAAAACATACTTAGTGAAAATCATACAAGGCATTAGCATGTGTTCAGCCTTGAATGAAAAGCTTGAACACACATAGATCCTTATCTTAACTAATCCTTACCTTGTTTGAGAATCCATCCCTTCGTCCATATTCGACAGGTCAGACAAGACGAATTATAGATCTCAATAGCTGCTTGAGAAAGAAAATAACTCATGTTGACAAGCTTTTGACATGCATGCAAAAACTAGGATATAGCTATATACTGCCAATTGTCAGGTCTAAACGAACCTCACATAGAGCCAAACAGTCTGGTTTCAGACGGAAGCTACACTTAAACCGTTGGTACGAACAGCAGGGAAAACTTAAGGCGGTGAGTTCGTTTGTGTGTTTGCTCCACTTTCTCAGGTTATGAGGAGAGTTGTTGTCCCACCTTTATATCTTAATCTCTGCGACCATTTAGCCTTTAGCCTATGTCGTCAGTTTCAATGTCTGACAGTCATTTTGCTAAGAAAACACTGCTACAATTAGCTAGCTAACCAACCATAAACAACAGTATGCTTTCAACATAACCGTCACTGTTAAAAGTAGTTATTTGGCTATAATTGGTTTCTTTACAATGGATCTGGTTAGTATCTTACAACGTCAAAGCAAACTAATTTTACAGAACAAAAAAACAAGTCACCTTTGGCTAACTTAGCTTTGATTGGCTATAGATTAGCTGTAGTGCTAACGCAATTCAACCTGATCAAGCTAGCAGTAGTGGGTCCAGTAAAACAAAGAAATACAACTCACATGCATTCCGCTCCTTGTGTAAGACATCGGTGTTAGAAGCAATACATAATTATGTATTTATTATAATGTCCAGCCACTTCTCCCGGACCACATAACACCCCAAATGTTTTGATCCGGTTTTTGGTTTACTTTCACTTCGTTGTTCCAGGCAGCTGCTGCACCTTTACGGCAGGAGCATCACGACCAATCAGGACATGTTTCATGGAGCAAGAGGCGGGATTACGAGTCGGTATCCTAGCAACTGGCTTTACCGTTGAGTAAATATTGATGTCATGTAGTAGAGACAAGTAAGAACAAATAGCCACAATATGTACAAATTAATTATATTTTATTACTTTTGGGGTATCTCTACACGTTGAGATTAATTATTTTTTACTGAGCTTTTCTTTTTTTTTGGTTGCTATTCCATGTTCTCTTTATTGCAACATGTAACAGTTACATTTTGCAATACAGAGGAATGTCTTATGACTATTTTAATTAGGTCAAGTGAACTACAATGTTGATATGTAAATAACCTAATATAAACAAAATGTGTACTTAGTTTTGATATTACTTACTTAATGTTGATAACAGTATTGGAATTTCCTATGTTAATATTCTTATACAGTTAGTTAGATCATTTCCAAATAGCTTCATTCATTGCAAATGTGTGCAAAATATAACAAAATATTAACAATTTGTTTAAAACAGAGTTTATTAAAAAATACATAATTATAGACATTATTGTTTTTTCTTTGTCTAAATGTGAACATGAGAAATGATTGGCAACGCAAACAAAAATACTGTAAGCAATAATGAGAGTGCAAATACATTGGTTGTGGTTATGTGTGAGTAAAATGCTAGATATCATGCTGCTATGTATCTAAGTTATTGCATATTTCTAAGGGTCAGTGACAGTGGATAGGACTGTGGTTTCTGCAGCAGCGAGACAGACAGCTTCTCTGCAGTGCTCCTTAGGCGAAAGGCTTCACGATCTTCATTGAGATGTAATTCTGTGGATATATAAAACATATTTAAGTCTATCACAATAAAAAATACATAGGAATGATGTTTGATGGGAAAAAAAATATGATTTAAATTTTAGAATTATTCAAATCAGTAAATCAGTTAGTAAACTAAGAAATCTTACAGGAAGGGAGTAGAACAGGATCCCAAGGAACAACAAAACCAGCAGAAGAAGAATCGCTCCAATGAAAATACATTTGAATCTGCGCCAAACGATGAACTTCATGGTCTTGCAAGGGTTTATAAACCAGAAGAATGACGTGTCAGGCCGGCTGTTGAATGGAGAACGACAGCAACATTAGTTAACATTAAACAATTCATAGAACAACAAACTCATAATTTATTTATGTTTAAAGGACTCTGATTTATTACTTGGGTGGATCCAGTTTGGGACTCATGTTTGGTTCATCTCGGCCTTTCCCAGCAGGTCTCTCCTCCATCTCCTTCCCCTCCACTATTTCCAGTGTCATCTCTACCTTCCCCTGTGGAGTTTGAAAACAAAATCTTAAAAAGTATCCAGGATTTTTTTTTTTACTATGGAATGTGCCGAGGACATAAACATACACCAAGCACATGTTTCCCATCCTGCTCGATAGCACATGGCCACCAGCCTCGTACAGACTTCTGGGAGAAGAGTGAGTTGGGCAGGGTTTTTTTCGTGGAGACTGAGTCTGCCATACCAGGCAACATCTTCAGGCTGCACTTTTCTGGGCTCTTAGCAGGAGAGATCAGATTAAGTAGATCCAGTTCAAGTGAACCTGTAACAGAAATATTAATGGAAAGTTATAATTAGTCCTTTATTGCTCTTTTGTAGATCTCTATCTAGACCTCCCTCTGTGTGGGGTTAATCATAATGCTAACCTAAGTAGTCATCCATGGAGAATTTGTCATTGTCCCATATCTGGACGATCAATTTAGGAGGAATCCTAAATTCAGTTTTGTCCAGATTCCAAAAGTGTTCCTGGAAAAACACAAACACTTTATTTAGACAATTACCTGCATCAGCACACAATAATAATATATAAATATGACACAACAATCATTTGATGCTTTTTTCCTGCTCCAGGACCTTACTCACTTTCTTCGAGACCACACACAGCTGTTCTGCAGGCAGGTAGTCAAACTCAAAGATATACCTCCAGTTGAAATTTCCATCCCCATCCAGGGATCTGTAGTGTACATCAGTCTTCTGCTTGTTGTCTTCCATACCCAGCATCCATCTAAAAAACATGGCAATGTTGAATTCAGATAAGCTACTTGTACGTGAGTCCAGTAGGTGGTAAAAGTATACATAAATGAAGGGATAGGGTATTGCGTGTAATTTACCCTTTAACGTAGATGTCACTCATTTTATCTCCAGTTATGCTTGTGTCGTCCAGAGTAACATCTGTTGTGTTCCAAATTATGGCTCGCAACATATACCTGTTAAAAATAATATTGTTATATTTTATCCTTAAATGCATTTTTATAAATCAATATTTAGTCAAGTGTTCCTTACTTCTTGGCTTTGCGTGGAGTGATATCACATGGGGGACCTGGCAAACCAAGGCTCTTGGGGAAAATGTCCACCCACATTTGAATCTGTCCCTGTGGTTAGGAAAAACAAACAACGTTAAAATGTTTATTCTAAAAAGCATTATATATGACTTATATATCTTTGCTACCTCTAATCAAAAAAAAAATGTATGTAGTGTTATTTGGGATGTTTTAACCTGAGGCAGGTTGGGTTGGTAGGAGCTGTACAGGGTTCTGGTCTCCACGTGCTCCGGTGCCAAGCCCTGGGCTCTGAGTACATGCAGGGCCAGCCTCTCTCTGGCTGGGCCTAAGTGTGGATGGATCGCAGTGTTTGCCTCTGCAAAGTGCACATCACATCACAAAGGTCAAGAAAGAAAGGATAGTGTAAAGTATAACAAAGGTCAAAAGTGTGAGGCGGACTACAAACTGTTTCAAGGGAGCCTCAGAGAATGGAAGTGAACACATGTAATTTGTTGTTACTATGGCTAAAAGAAAATCACATACAGTAAGGTAGAATAGCTTCAATGTGTGTAATTTGCTACAGTTAGAAACTAATGAATGATTTTGCACAGCACTCAAAAAGAGTGCTGTGCAAAATCATTAATTTTGTTTGTTTTCTGGCCTAATTATTATTTTTGAGTGTCTAAAGGATCAAATAACGTGGTTCCAATATGCATTCAGCAATACAGCAAACTGAGGAAGTAAACTAACTCACTTGTTTGAGGGTAAGCCCAGTCTTAGACTTTGAAACCCAGTGCTTTAGTAGATACAGGTTAATATTTAGGCCAAGATACAACTCCAGCGTACTTTCATACTAGTTGGAAAGCATTCTGCTCAGACATTTTCTATATCAAAACTTAGTCATTGAGATATCAGTATAATTCTACGGTATTTGACAATGGCAGTACCGAAATCGTGCAGGTGGTATTCTTTTCCTGAGAAAGAGAGCGAGCTTCCATCTCCCTCGATGCGTGGAGGAGGGACGCCTCTCACTCTGGCCACGTTCTGCAGGATCTGCGACGGCTTCAGCTGGTCTCTCCACTGATTGATCCCTGAGCTGCAACAAAATTATAGACGTTATGGCTTTGTCTTCAAGAAACAAAAATAAATCAAAGAATTCCCTGGCCGACGTCTGATACATCCACTGTACTGCAGATGCTGTACTGTAGCAGCACATACTTACACACAGTAGGTCTGAGGCAGGCCACAGCAGGGCCTGAAACGAGACAGGAGTCTGTTCTCCAAATCGATGACCGTCTCACCCACTTTTTCATCTCTGCTCAGTAAGTCATAGTCATACACAGCAATCTTCAGGTCCTTGTCTTGAGGCATGAAGCAGGACATCTCAAACATCCTGGTCAAAAATGTACAACAAATTATGCATAGCCTGCTTCTTTCTGTTCTTAGACTAACTTCAAACTGGCAGCAATCATTTGAACAAATACAAAATGTACAAAATGTCAGGAAGATGAACTCATTGCTGTCTCACCTCCCAAACTCTGGGTGAAGGGTGTTTGGTTTATAGTGATCTCTGTCATCCAGTGTTTTCCCTCCCAGTGATAGCTTAATGTATGGGTCGCACTGAAAAATGAGAATACAAAAAAATTAACTTTAGTGATCTTTCATCTTCATACATCTAGAGCACTGTTGTGACTCAATTATTTGTAACTATGCCAAGATGGTGGTTTAGTTGCAGCTTTATTTAATACTCACCATGCCATTTGTGTCCTTAGGCTGGAGGTCAAGACAGCGCACCACATAAATTCTGACAAGGCAGCCCTGCGGTCCGCTCTCAGGAAGCTCTTTGAACTGGCGGGGTGGAGCTGGCACCCCTGGGTCATCCGACAGTGGGTAAATCTTGAATGAGCCCTGTATATAGCCGAAAAAAGACAGCACTGTTAGTCCTATAACCTCTCTTATACAAGCTCATAACATTCACACTGGAACCTCAGACCATATTCCTACCAAGGTAACAATAGATTGTTACATCAATGAGGTACTACATACTGAAGCTAAATATCCCCTCACAGACATACCAATCAGAAGGTGATATAAATAATACTGTTTCATTTCATAAATTATCCACCAGAGGGCAGGCAAAGGCTAAGAAAAGTAGCTGGACAGCATCCAAAGCAGTGTTTACCCATGTGTACCAATGGGCTTCTTTACCTTGAACTCTCCCACCACAGAGGGGTCATCTTCCTCATCCTCGGTCTTTCCTCGCTGGAGTTTGAAAGTGCCGCAGAAATCAGTGAATCCCTGGAACTGTTGAACCTCTTCAAGCTCACTGTTAAAGACCTGAAAACCAACACAAGAACAGAAACTAAGTCATACTTCATATATTGTGATCTCTCAAGCTAACGATACGTCACACCTTGGTTACATGTTTTAACAGCACTCAGAATAATTAGTATTATTTTTTTTCATTAAAATAACTAACTACTAACTGCTCTTTTCAGTATCGGAGTACAGCATCTTTTTTTAGCTAAATACCAATGCAAACTCTTATCAAAAAGAATGAGAAGCAGGACTTTCTGGTCACAGATATATCTTGCTGTAAGAAAATCACATACAAGAATTCAGGGAAAGATTCAAATCATTATTGTGTTTAAGCAATGTGCAAAAACATGTTCTTACCTGTAA